TGTCCTGAGACGCCAGGAGCCTTTCTCCTTACAGGGCTGGAGACTGAGCAGGCATTCCAAAGGTATTGTGGACTGAATTTGTGACCCCTCTTTTCTATGCTAAATCCCTAATCCTCAACGTGATGGTATTTGGAAGTGGGATTTTGGGGTGAGTAGGTTCAGATGAGGTCAAGAAGGGGGAGCCTTAGGATGGGATTAGTGCTTTCACAAGAGGAAGGAAGACCCAAGTTCCTGTTCTCTCTGCCATGTGAGGATTCCAAGAGGAGGTGGCTATTCATGAGCCAGGAGAGTGTCCCCACCAGGAACTCAATCGACCAGCTCTCGCTAGGAACTTATCTTGAATGTCCAACCTCCAGAACTATAAATGCCTGTGGCAGTTTTTTACAGCAGCTGCTCTAAGACAAAAGGCAGTAGCAGGTGCAGACAAGCAGAGGGAGCACCAAGCTCCATCAAACAACTCCAGGCAGAACAGCTGAGCCCTTCCCTGGAGGTAGCCACAACATCTTCTTTCCAGGACACTCAACCACTTCCACTGGCAGCACTGCCTCCTTCAGTTCTTGAACTAGAACTTGATCCCTTGGCTTCCTGTCTTTATGCAATGAAATTCTCAAATCCTGCCTCTTTTGTATTCCCTGCACAAACATGCAGTACACTTATCTGGGAGGCACATGACCCACACCTGGGGCATTAGCCTCTCCACAGAATACTGCTACCCCTGAGTGACCCCTAGCTGTTACCATCAAGGGCCTCCTAGCACCACACTCTAGGGAAGCAAGGCTATAACCCTGAAAAGCAGACACAGCCTCCTGAGAAGAGCCTGGTGTCACTGAGAATGGGGCCTAAGACCAAATGCCACCTAGTTTGTTCATGAGCATATTACCTGGGCCTCTGTCCAAAATTCCCACAGGACCTCCCTGCCCTTCCAGACTACTGGGAGTACCTGAAGGGGTTTCCAAATCTCCCCAAGTAGCTCAACAGTATTTAATGCCCCAATGGAGTACACAAAGATTAACCTCATGACCAACCACCCTACCTCCATATTGGTAGGACACCTCTTTGCTGTGCCACTGCTCTTATTTCAATAATGTGTAATGTAGCATGTTACCCTCAGCTTCACACTCTACCAAATGCTATGATGGCCCTGACAATGCAGCAGATCAAACCCTACTCACCTGCCAGAGGTCTGGGCAGGGACTGACTCAAGAGAGTACCTCTGGGAAACAATAAATGCTCTTTCTTCCTTTTCCAGGAACTACACTGGAATGCAGACACATGCAGACCTGGTGTAGGCCAGGGCCCCACCTATACACTGATGGTCCACAGTGACACAGAAGTCCTTCCTTACACTTGTCAGTGGAGCACAGATGGTGGGCTCAGAGCACCACACTCCACAACCCTGACCAGCGAACACAAGAGAATCGTAGGAAGCCCATGGAGCTGCTAGGGACAAAGACTGTTTGTCTAGTCCCCTGAGTCTAGATCTACCCTGAAGACCTCAATTCCAAGTCTCCGTGTTTAAGCTCCATGATTAACAGGCAAGGGCTCCTGCCAACCTGCCTGAAGAACCCTTGGGTCTTTTGGGGGTCACTAACAGTGTGTGGCACTAACATGTGTTTGGTGGGTGAGCAAGTGAAAGAACAGGGAGAAAGAAAGGCATTCAGCTGTTAGCTATCTAACACCAGTGCCAACTTCAGACAAGGAAGCAGCTGGTTCTGCTCTGAGGGGTGTCTTATGGGGTTGGGAGCATCTTCAGAACTCCAAACCTGATGAATCAGGGCCTAACCCTGGCTCAGGAATGCTGACACCACCTGTAAGGGCACCCCAGTCAGGCCCTGACAAAGGCAGACCAACAGGGAACACAGCCCCTCCTCTGTGACCCAGCTACCAGGAGCCAGGCCAGACAGACCCAAAAACATGAGTCATTTAACAACTCCAGGAACCACTATTAGGAGAGTGTCACTGGTTCAGCCTGCAGGGCATCTTCAGAACCAGCAGGGACACTAACGAAAGTCAGTGTGGCAGAAGGGAGCCCTTGCCAGTGCAGACAAGGCCAAAGGTTTCCAGCAACCTGGAACAGAGCAGAGAGGGCTGACTCCAGCCTCTGTCACTATTCCAATAAATGGGATTTTAGTTGTGCAACCACTCGGATCCCTCCCCACCATGGGTGTCCACTCAGCCCTGTAGCCAGTCACATCACAGAAGAGCCACTGTGATACATTGTCCAGATGCCCCCTCAGAGGGGCCTTTGAGCAGATGGCCTTCAGCTATTTCCAGGATTTTTGGCTACACAGACTCCCCCACCCCAAGCCAAGTCCCTCCCAGGCCAGCCTCCATGTGATGACTGTGAAGGAGGCCTGACAATCTCACTAGCCTGGGACAGCTCTAGGGGCCAAGCTCACTCTAGAGAAGAGGTTGTCCTGGGGACTTTTCGCAAAACAATCCTCCTTCTGCCCCTTCTGTTTCTCTCATCTCCTTCCCTTCATGGATACTGTTCCAAGGATACTGCTTAATAAGTACCCTGCATGACACACTCCCTCCTTTCCCTTCTGAGAACCCAGTCTATGACTTTAAGTCCCAAATACACAATGACAAAATTCTATAATCTGTCAATTCCTGCGAATTACAACCTCACAGAAGCCCAGGACAACAGTTCTGACTGTAGCAATCTTGCTGAACTCAAACAGCCTATTTTTTAAAAAAGTCAAGGGATTCTCATCATGATCACCTCTCCAACTATCTCACCAGCCCCACAGCATGGACTGCCCCACCCCACCTGGACCTCTCCTTGAATGGGTCTCACAAGGTTGAAAAATCTGATAGGCCCTGTCAACCATCCAAAGGCATTTGCCCTGGAGCTGAGACCTTGTCCTGCTTTGTGAAACTCACTGGGCTCCCAGTAAGCTTGGGAAGGCCCCCAAAACATTTGAAAGCTCCCAGGTCAGTCCTGCAGAATAGAAGTAGGAACTCTGAGCCTCCTAGCACTCTCTTTCCTGTGGACTTGCACTTCTGCTCACTGGGTCTGCTTGCTGAGTTTGCTCCCCCAGAGCCTGCCACACCCCAGAAAGTGGGTCTGTCCATCCTGCTGCAACAAAGCTGCAATGGGGGCAGGTTTCTTCATTTTCTCAGCTCTACAGCTGCAAAACGAAGACCAGCCTGGGAAGGCTTTGTAAAAGGCAAACCAGAATCACTCCTAACATGTTCGCTGTGGTTTAAACTAAAGTGCCTAATAGAGTCTGAACATGTCCAAAATTCATGCTGAAGTTTAATCCCACTGTGGCGGTATAAAGAGAGTCCCTGGGGAAGCAATACATCATGAGCTCTGCCCACAGAGATGGATCATGCCTTATAAATTAGCTTAGGCTCTTTTGTCCCTTCCTTTCCTTTGCCATGTAAAAATACAACACTTTTCCCTCGGCTACAGCAATCAGGCACCAACTTGGAAGCAGACAGCAGTCCTCACCAGACACCAGACACTAATCCTGACAGTACCTTGATCTTGGACTTCCCAGCCTCCAGAAGAACAAGAATACATTTCTATTGTTTATAAATTACTCAGTCTGTATTATTTTATTAGTGCAACACAAATGCACTAAGATGGTGCCCAACACAGGGTCTGGCCCTCCATACCAAAGCTGCTATTAACCATGGTGATGACAGTCAAAGATGGGATGGTCTATTTGTCAGCTCCTACTGCTCCTCCTCAGCTGATGCCCAGGCCTTCCTCACTGCTCTAAAACACTCTCCAGCCCAAGTATCACAACAGCACCCCCTAACCTCTGGTTTGCCTGGCTCTTGGCTTCCTCAGCAGGTAGAACCCTTGAGGCCAGAATCTGAGAAAAGGACTCCAAATCTTGTCCAGCTCACCCAATGTAGTGCTCCAGCCCATGCCCCAGCCTCTGACCCTTGCCCTCCAAAGGCTAACAGGCTTTGAATACAATCTGAGGTTCTCCTGGGCTTAGGAGGCAAGAACAAGATGTAAAAAGTAACTGTTACTCCACTTTTAACCCATCACCCATCAGCCTGCATAACTCAAAGCTAAGTCAAAATTCAGCAGCAGTAGTCCAGAATATAGCTCAGTGGTAGAGCACTGTAGCATGCCCAAGGCCCTGGATTCAACCCCTGTACACACACGTACACGTATGCGCTTGCAAGCACACATAATTCAAGCGCAGGGGAAGCTTCAAGGAAGAGGTCCTTGTTAAAGTCTCCACAAATCTGCTGTATTCCTGTCTTATTCCTTCCCCAGCTTAGAAGTGGGCATAGTGACTTGACACACATTGGTTCTCCTGCTGCCAGATGCCTTCAAGATACCAGCGTTGGTTATCCCTGCTGTCCATTCACTATGACATGCAAACAGCCAGAGCCAACACTACTCAACCCTTCTTTGCTATCCAGCTACTATACATGCAAGAAACGTAATTTGCTATAAAATAAAAAGTGCTGCAAATGATAAGTTCCTAAAAGGCAACAACTGCTGCTTCTTCATCTTTTGTAGGCCCCATAACTGTGATAAGAGCCTTTGTACCTAAATATTGCAAAAAACTTACAAACACAAATATGAGGGCATACCCTTACACACATACACTCTCACACTACATATCCAGAAATAAAGTCTCCCTTCACTGACATGGCTAGCAGAAGTGTCTACGGTTCCACTTTGCAAAGGATTTGCTTTAGTCTATGCCCTAAAGAAGAGGGGAAGACAATGGCAGCACACACAACGGGTCTTAGGCCTGCTGACTCCTAGCACCTTATTCCTTCTGCTAGCACACTGGCAAGCCCCCAAAAAACACTGCCAGTGCATAAGGCACCATAGTCTCTGAGATCCTCTCCTTGCCACGAGCAATCCCATTATCATCTGCAAGGTATAAGTATTTTCCTAAAATCTTTTTGAACAAGTGTTTCCATTCAGCAGCAGCCTGCTTTGTTATTTCAGAAATGTCTCCAGCAAGCTTCATTTGGCGACAGCATGTAGAATCAGCTTCCAGGATGCTGCTTACCTTTGACAAGCAACTTGTCTCTCACAGAGACCCTCCGAGTAGAGTCAGACGTGGTGGCTGACGTCCGGGACCCTTTGAGACCGTCATCCCGCTTCAGCTTGCTTGCCAGCGTTAGCATTACTGCCACCTTTACCCTGAAAGACCAGGGGAGAGCAGAGTCAAGACCATGCCTCTAGACAGCAATCAGATCCTGAAGGCACAAGACACAAGACTAGATTCCTTCATAATGAACCTAGGAAAATTCCATACCATCCTAACTTTTAAAGTGTGAATTAAAATATTTTAAAAGGAAGAGTAAAACATTTAATACTCAGTGCTTACCCCCCAGATGTCAGGCCCTGGGGTTATATCAAGCATACAGTCTGGGGGGGGGGGGCTCTACAGCTTCTCTACCAGCATGTGCCTGACACTGGAATCCAAACAGGTCCACTATTCACTGGGAAGTCTGTTCTTCCCTGTAATAGGGTCCCAGGTGTGGCTCAGGGACTCACCCTTCAGGAACAGAGGGAACAGCAAGGTGTTCCTTTCCTTCTTCCTTTAACAAAGGTATGAATACAGCCTTCAAAGGATCTTTGCATTGATTTGTGCTGTACTTTATTTACACTTGTGGCAACATCAACACCAACACTAAATTATAATTAATGCCCTAAATCAGATACTCTTCACTGCCCAGACTTAAGCACATCAGTCTTGCCATAGCATCAGGGTCCCCGGATGTCCATCACACAGTGGTCAGTCAGAGGCATCAGATGCCCCACATAGGGACCACCAGCTTTTCAACCTCTGGCTCACTTCAGTAGTGAAAATAGGGTAAGAAGTTAAAAATAAAAGCAGTGTGTGAAGAGGTCAGTGGTCAGTCCTGAGGAGTGTTATACTGAAGAGACCATAGAAAAGCAAGCAGTGGACATAAGCCTTCCATCCCAGCTCCCTGAAGACCTGTACCAAGCAGAGCTCAAAAAGGCCTGGTAAGAGTCATCATTCTTGTGGAGAAGGGTGTCCACCAAGACCCTCTTCTGCACCGCTGCTGCCTAAGGCTGTGCTTAATGCTTTTCCATTCGCTCACCCACACTGAAGCCTTCTCTGTGGCAGAGGCTGGAGGCCCCCCATGCAACCTCACTGACAGAACCCTGGCTTACTATCTTCAAGTTTACTAATAAAATGCATTGGGAGGGGACTAGGGTTGTTGCTCAGTGGTAGAGCACTTAGCCTGTGTGAGGCAATGGGTTTGATCCTCAGCACCACGTTAAAAATATAAGTAGACAAAATAAAGGTATTGTTTCCATTCTTTTTTTTTTTTAAGAGAGAGTGAGAGAGAGAGAGGGAGAGAGAGAGAGAATTTTAATATTTATTTTTTAGTTATCGGCGGACACAACATCTTTGTTTGAATGTGGTGCTGAGGATCGAACCCGGGCCGCACGAATGCCAGGTGAGTGTGCTACCGCTTGAGCCACATCCCCAGCCCTCCATTCTTTTTTTTAAACATTTATTTTTTAGTTGTGAGTGGACACAGTACCTTTGTTTTATTTTTATGTGGTGCTGAGGATTGAACCCAGTGCCTTACACATGCTAGGCAAGTGCTCTACCTGAGCCACAACCCCAGCCCTAAAAGAGAAACTCTTAAAAAAAAAAAAAATACATTGGGAAGGCTGAGGTTGTGGCTCAGTGGTATTTACTTAGCCTGTGTGAAGCACTGGATTCAATTCTCAGCATCATCAAAAAAAATTAATAAATAAGGGTATCATGTCTATCTACAACAACACTAACAAACACATTGGGAACCTGAGTGCAAATTTTAAAGAAAACAACACTGGTGTTTTGCCTTACATAAAGTAATACAAAATTTACTTTCCTAACATCTAAATATGATTATAGTGACCATCTATTTCTCTACCATCTGTGTCGTTATCACATGCCACTTCAAGGATAAACCAAAGGCCTAACTAGGAAATATTTCCACTGCTATAAAATTAAATCTATATAGAGATTCAAACAAAAACAATTACTGTCAAGAAGTTAGCTGAAAATCTGCAGTTGCTTCAGAACCTCCTCAATGCCTAAACTCTCCACAATCTGGTTTAAAATTAAACTTCCCCTTTCTGGAAAAGGACACTCTGACTAACAGCATTTTGGGAACAGATCAGCTATTCTGAATGGCATGCTCAGTCTCTAGGTTCCACAAGTCCCAGTTAAGTTCCTCTTCTGGGTAGGACCTGTTTTTAGTGTGTCCATAGAAGAAGATTGTGTTATTTACTGGTCTAAATCATCAAATGCCGCTTATTCAGCATTCCAGTGTGCTGTGATGAAATCGGGCCATGTCACCTGTGCAGGGCCACCAAGGCTCAATGTGAGGGTAACTTCATTTACAATTTTTCCACCATACAGAAGCCCCAATCCAAGCATAAGAAATGCAAGCTGGTCACTAGGGGACGTTCAACTTCCCCAGCCAAAGGAGCCCGGATCAGGACACAAATAAGTCCAGGCCCCACCATTCCACAGAATGCCAGATCCCAGGAAGCTGCCGGCTGGCCAACCACCCCTGGAGCCCGGGCGGTCTCATTTCCAGCAGGTACACCGGCCCCTCTCCCACTACCTGAATGGCAGGTATGTCCCCGGAGAGACCCCGAGCCCCGCAGCACTCTGCCGCCTTCATCTCCCTCCCCACCGTCCCGCACCAACACCCTGCTCGTTTCTGGAAGCTTCTGTTCCACCTGATGGCCGGGCCCGGAACCGGCTCCTTCCCTTCCCACCCAGCCTTCCCTTCCCGAAGGAGCGCCATTCCCACCGAATCCGAGTCTTCCCCAACAAGGGTCCCCCGCGGCGGCCGCACCACGGCCCAC